AGAAAGCTGAAAAGAGTACATACTGTATGATTCCAACTATATGACATTCTGGAAAAGGCAAGACTATGGAGACAGTAAAAAGATCAGTAGTTGCCAGAGGTTGGGGGGTGGGGGAGTAGGAGTGGGGGGAGCAGAAGTGGGGGTAGGGGTGGAGGGAATGTGAGTTGGGGGAGGAGATAGGGGTGAGGGAAGGATGGGATGGACGAGTGGAACTCAGAGGATTCTTAGGGCAGTGAAACGATTCTGTATGACACTGTAATGGTGAATACATGACATTATACATTCGTCAAAACTTACAGAATGTACAACACAGAGTGAACCCTAAAGTAAACTATGGACTTTGGTTACCAATAATGTATCAATAGTATCTCATCGGTTGTAACAAATGCACCACACTAAGGCAAAATGTTACTAATAGAGGAAACTGGAGGGCAGAAGAGGGGGTTGAGAAGGTATATGGGAAGTCTGTACTTTCCACTCAATTTTTCTGTAAACCTAAAACTCTTTCAAAAAATAAAGTCTATTAATTGAAAAAAGAAAACTCCTGACACCCAGACTACATCCCAGACTAATTAAGTCAGAATCTCCAAGGGTGGAGCCCAGGCATCATGACGTGTTTAAAGCTCCCTAGCTTTAGGGATTCTAGCGTGTAGCTGGATTGATACTGAATTGGGAATGGGAAGCAGAGGACCACAGCAGGGAGCCCTCTCTCCGCTTTGGGGTGGGTTTCCCCCGGAAGTGGGTGGATGCTGGCACAGATTGCCTGTAAGAAGGAGAGGAGAGCACCAGAGGGCAAGGGGGTTCCCTCCTGTGAAAGCTCCAGCAGCTTGGGGATGGTCCCCTGGACTCTAGGGGAATGTTTAACCATCCCCTTCATATGTTGCAGATCCCCATTGTTCTGGTTTATTCCTTCAGTGTAGACCTGGGTCTAGGCCACAGGGGGAGGGTCTGGGGGAAACCAAAGGGCTGGGGGGTCAAAGGGCTCTCAATGCAGAGAGCATCAGCCAATTGCATGGACCATGGCTAGGACAAACAGCGACCCGTTCTGCAGGCGATGGGACAGAGTGAGCCGCTCAATAACAACCCGTGCAAAGGGCGTCTGAAAGAGAAGGCGGGAGGGACTGGAAATCTGGGTTATAGCTACAGGGGAGGCCTGAGCTAGTTTGAAGCCTGAGGAGCAGGAACAGAAGACCAGAAAAGGCCAGAGATATACGGGCCAGAGAAGGGGCTTACTAGGGATCAGAGGGACAGCCTCATTCTTGTGATTCACTTGAGAGACGCTCTTTGCATGGTCTGCATCATGGTGGAACAGTGAGTGAGCAGATATAAGTTGTGAAAGTGACCTAGCCAGTGGGTAGGTTGCAATTCCTGGGCCCTGGTTCTAGTCTTGTAGGAGATGAACCAGACTCTAGACCACATGCCAAGAGTGCTTCTGAGGCTGTGGACCAGGGAATGCTTCCTGGCAATGGTGACTAAGATGGCGGGGGCCTAGGCAGTGGGGAGGGCAGAGAGGCTGACCACAAAGCTGGGATGGGCTAATGACAAACTGGTCAGCCCAACCTGGATGGGGACTGGCAGCTGCCCTGGAGAGAAAGGACCCAGACTTTATTTGGTGGCTCCTCCTAGCTGGAGACATGGATGTGTCTGAGAACCAGAAGGCAGAGCCAGGTCTGTGTGTGTATGAGGGAGGAGATCGGGGGCAGGAGATGGTCCTTTAAGGCATGGACACTCAGTCCAGCAGGAGGCTGGAGCAGTGCAGGTAGTCCTTGTAGGGTAGAGCTCTGTTTTGCAGGTGAGACAGCCAATGGGCCCCTCCCCAGACCCTCCTGGTCTCCTCCTGGGCTTCAGTTGACCCCCAGGGCCCACTACCACCCTCTGCATGGCTCCCCTGGCCTCCCTTGGCAGAGTCCCAGTGGCTCAGGAGGCAGCCCCATAGACAGGCTTGCTTGTCTGCCTGAACGGAGGCTGTGTGGGTGTACCGGCCTGTTGGGAGTGGGGGTAGGGGTGGAGGTGGGGGGTAACTCCGTAACCTGTGAGGTGTTCATAGGGGTCCCAGTATGTGTCTGGGTGTCTCCCTGAGAAAATTGGAACCCTCAGTGGCCCTGACCAACTCTCCCTTCTCTCCCCAAGGCTGAGATCATATAGGATGAAAGGGCTTGGGGGGATCAGAGACCAGGCAAAGTGCCTGTGGGATCCAGAGTCCAAAGATGTTCTCTGCAGGGAATCAGGACCTCCCAGGGCTAACCTTGGACTGCCCCTAGCCTTCTGCTGGATGCTTCTGGCCTGGGCCAGCTCTCCCGTGTGGTTAGGTCTGGAAGTGCAGCCTCCCTCTCTGATTTTCCCAGATGCCCTTCCCCGTGGGTAGGGCTCTCCGTTTTCCCGGAAGCTGGTGTGGGAAAACCTGGGTAAACTGCGTGGGCAGGAGACCTTGGCTCTGGCCTGGCTCTTCTCTGACTCGCTGTGTGACTCCGAGTGAGTCACTGTTCCCTGGGCCTCAGTTTTTCTACCACAGTGCCTCCTAGAGTGGTTGTCCTCTTGGGCAAATGACATCATGCACCTGTGGTCCTACTCAAAGCTCTTATGCATGATGATCTGGCCTGTCAGACCTAGGCCCGAGGTTTAGTGACCAACACCTGGGATGAACCAGCCTGGGGATTTTTCTGACTACAGAATAGGTCTTGGAGAAGGGGGCCGACTTTGACAAGCAGAGGCAGGAGTAGGAGAAGGCAGTGTCCTGGAGGAGTGCGTGGGCCTGAAGAGCCACGGGGAAGGGGAATGAATGGAGTGGGGTGGTTGGGGCATGGGTCAGGGGATCATCCAGAGAGGCCAGTGAGGCTGATGGCCACGGCCTTGAACGCCAGGCTGAGCACTGTAGGGAGCACGGAAGGGTTCTGAGAGGGGTGGGAATGGTCAGGTGGGTGCCCAGAGATCACTCTGGCAGCTGGTAAGAGGATGGATTAGAGGGCTGAGGACCAAGGCCAGGAGACCAGTGAGGAAGTGAGATGGTAGTGGGATCCAAAACACAACAGGATGCCCAGGAAACAGCAGGAGTGAATTTGGTCTCCATTTCTCAGATGGAAAAACTGATCACCATGCAGGGCAGCCTCTGGCTCAGTCTCCCTCTGGTTGTTTTCCAGTTTCACCCAGCTGGGAGCTCCACAGATGGGCAAATACCAATCATGCAGGACGTGCTGAGCCCGTGGCGTCTAAGGCTGGTTCCAGGCAGCCCCAGAGGCAGAAAGTTCTTGTTTTTCTTCTAAGGATCTCACTTGCTGAGTACTTACCATGCACCAAGCACTGTGTCAGATGCTTGGCATGAGGACTTCATTTAACCTCACAAGAACCCCCTGAGGAGAAGCTGATATTATCTGCATTCTACTGATAAGGAAACCGAGACTTCTCCAATGACTTACCAAAGGTCACACAGCTATTAAATGGCAAAGCTTCGATTCAAGCTCAAGGCTGCCTGACCTCAATGAGGACTATTTTTATCTTGGCCATGGAGGGCCCTACTACGAGCAGGACGCTACAGGGTCCAAAAAGCCCATACCAGTGTCCAAGACCAAGGGGGCACAAGGAGGACACTGGGCCCGTGTCACAGGGACTCCTGTGAGGCTCCACTGGGACCTCACCCCATGAGGAGTGGTGACAGCTCCCAAGGACCAGACATCGGCCTCCCTGGGCCCTTGTGAAACAGGCAGGGTATCCTCATGGGCAGGCCACCGGCCCCCAAACATCCTGTTCTTTTCAAGGAGGGGCCATGGGACCTGCCCAGGAGACTGAGCAACATCCTAGACTGGTTCCTCGCCCTCCAGAGCCAGCCGTTCTCTCTCCCTCCCTCCCTCCCACTCACTCTCCCACCCCACCCCCCAGCTCCTCCCACTACTGTCCTGCTCAGACCCTTCCAGGAAAGCTAGAAAAGCCAGCTGGTCCAGCTGGTGAGAAAGAACACACAGCCAGATACAGAAAATGTACACATAAAAAAAATTTTTTTTAACTCAAGAAAGGGCTTTTATTGTTTTTAACTCACTTCCTGGGAAGTTAATTTTTAAAACACTCTTATGGAGTTTCCTCATCACTTGTGCTACATTCAAGAACAATGACGCCAACCAAAACCCTCAGCGATGGGGTGAGCACCCCATCCGGGCTCTAACACAGGCAGTAAAGCTGGGCCCACCTCTGAGCTCTGTGAGGGCAGGTCTAATCAAAGCAGCCTCCTGAAACCCCCACCCTACAGGCCCCAGTGCAGAGATGCTCAAGAAAAACGTGCAGATCTGTCATCGGCCTCCCATGAACTCTATAAAAGTGTTCTTAAAAACAGTACCGAATTATCCTTAAGCCCTGGGTTACAACGCCTTAGTGCAGAGGAGCCAGGGAGAAGTGTGGACCCATTGACAACGGGCCGCATTCTGCTCATAGCCTTAAATAGACATAGAAACTATATTACAGATGCATGTGCCAGTGCAAGACATGCGAGTGTGCTGTGTGCAGCAGATGGGCACGCACACGCGTGTGTGTGCGGAGGCGCGATGTACACCCACAGGCACAGAGATGCGCAGGACAAGGGTGCTCCTCCAGCCAGCCTCCCTTTCCTTCTCAACACAAGTCCTCCTGCAATATGAAACCCACACAGGCGACTGAAATCCCTTGTTTTGCCCATCTTTTCAGGGGAGGTAACTGAGTCCTGCTTTATTTTCCTTTGGGGTCAATCTCTTGAGTATTTGGTCAGTAAACAGCAAACCAGCCAGCCAGGTACTGGTCCCGGAGAGGAGGTGAAGTCTGCTCCAGCACGGCTGGGTCGATACGCGTGCTCCAGCGCTCCCGCTCTGAGCAGGCCAAATGGCGACAGCCCTTGGGGGAGGCAGTGGCCGGAGGCCCACCTCCCTGTGGCCGCCTGCCAGCAGGCACACCCCACCAGGGTCCTGCTTCTGGCACTGCCTCCAACCTGGGCGGTTAGTCCTTCCTCGTAGGAACATGAAGGCAGCTTCTGGGGCCAGATGGGTAGGCCAGCGTAGGATCGGAGATTGGATTCCAGTCACTTCAACATCTGCAAGACCACAGCCCTGTGAGGCCCGGGCCCTCGGTCACTGGCAGCCCCTGGTGTCTCTGTGCAGCCACGGCTGTGGAGAGCCATGAAGGGGGGGAGGGAGATGGGCAGGGAGGTGTGGTGCTCCCGGTTCAGGCCTCTGCTCAGAGCTTCAGTTCAGCCCATTCTCTGGCTAGTGCCGAGCATGAATCACAATCCAGGAAGGTCAGTCTAGGCCTCCCGGGCTCCAAATAATGGTGAGGTGTGCTGGAACCACCCAAAGCTGTTAGGAGAGCTGGTTAGAAGTTGCCAAGCAGGGCTTTGCACCCACCCCCCCAAGTTAAAAACAAAAGTAAAAGACAACAAAAAAGGAATCTGAATTCTCCAATACTGGCCCCGTCCCAGCGAGGCCCAGGAATACCCATCAAGGGCTCAGAGCCTCCATATCAGCATTCTCGGTAGATGAGAGCTCTGGCAGCACCCCCTGTGGTGGGCAGGGTCCACCCCTCCATGTGCGTTTGGCAGCTGAGCCAGGCCCGCCCGGCCCCCAGCGGGAGGTCTCTGCAGTGGTGGGAAGCCAGGCCTCCACCTGCTATCTTGGTTTCCTGCCTCCTGCCCCCGGGGCCTTGCCAACCAGCGGGTGGGGTTTCTAAGGCACCACAGGCACCTAACTTCGCCACAGGATGGGTCCCGCCAGGGAGAGCCAGGCCTCAGAGACAGGCCTTTGGGAGCCCTGGCCTCCAAACCCCAGATGACACACGTTCCAATCCTGTCCCTGGACATGCACGCAGAGGTCATGCTGCACGACAGGGGGAGGGGGGCCAGGAGAGAGGCCACAGTCCCCAGCCCCCTGCCCGCAGGGGCGGCCGTTGGCATGAGGGCAGCAGGCCTTTGGAGGCGCGGGATGAGCGTGCTGCTGGGCGGCCCTGGGCGCATGCAGGGGCTCAGGACGCAGCCTCATCTTCTTGGACGCCGGGGAGCTCCGGGCTCTTGCCCCCTTCGCCACACCCGTCTTTCCTGTTCAGGGGACACCAGGGGCAGAGGGACCTCCGGAGTCAGAACATGCACTCAGGAGGACACCCTCACACACACTCACACAGGCGTCCGTACCCACAAGCTCTCAAATCCCCCCTCATCCACTTCCCCAAGCTCCCCTCACGGCCGCCCCCTGCAATGTGGGCCCCTGCTGGTCTCCCCACCCCTGGTGTCAGCCCACAACCCTCCATAGCTCCCTATTGCCTGGAGATGAAGTCCAGACTTCCCAGCCTGGCTTCCGGAGCCTCTCATGATCTGACCCAGACAACTTCCCCACGTCCTTGAGTACCAGCCAGGCCACAGGCCTGCCCTGCTGGCCTAGATGGGCCCCCACAGTCCCGGGCAAAGGGGCTTTGGTTTTGCATTTTCTCTGCCTTGCTCACAGGGCAGAGTCTACCGACCAGTCTTGGGATTCTGTCACATATTCAACAGACTCCTGTATCAGATTTTTCCCCTACAACCCTTCTTTTTAAAATGACCAATGAATGGGTTTTGATATCCTAAAAAAGGATCAATTGCATTTAACCCTATTTTAGAGTTTCAACAACTACCCCAAAGCATAAAAAAACAGATTCTATCGAGGACAAATGTTGGGACTCCATGACGAGGTAAAACCTGCTTTTCAAAATTCAACTTGGGTCACAGAATTATAGAATTTTATAGCTTGAAAGTATGACGCCCAATCCTCTCACAGTCCAGATGAGGAAACTGGCCTGTCCCCCCACTGACATGTCCATAGAGGGACAATGACCGCCTTGCTCAGTTGTATTCCTAGCGCCCAGCCCCCTGCCAGGCGTGGGCTGGGTGCCGATGCGTCTTCTGCCTGTGACTGGCCTGTCCCACCACTAGGGGCACCACTGGGGGGTGCTGAGTCACAGGCGCTGAGCTACAGTGACCAGATGTCCCAGTTTGCTGGTCATGGTTCTGGTTATGCCTGTTGTCCTGGCATAGTCATAGCTTCCTCTTTCACTCTCAGAGGTGGCTCCGTTTGGATGCTACGTGATCCCCTACACTAAGCCCAATTCCAGCATCGAGGCCTGCAGACCAAGAGGAGCCGAGGGAACGCCCTCCCCCAGCCCTGGCCACCTCACTGAAGAGACAGGGAATGGGAAGTAAGCCTCTCCCAGGCCCCACCCCTCACCCCCCACTGGCCAGGAAGTTTGTCAAGAGGAGGGCAAGAGGTTGGCATATGGACATCCCTGACTACAAGCAACCTCTGGCAGGGAACAGACGCCAGCTTGTCCACACTTCTGAAGGGCCCACTTATGAGAGGGTGAACTCACACAAAACCAACATCTGGGCCCCTGGATGGCACAAGAGAAACTACTCCTTCTTGAGAGGCCGAGGTAACTGGACAACGTCCGGCACTCCCTGTGGGGAGCCCGCCTCCTCCACACAGCGGACCAGGGCCCAACCCATCCTCCCCGCAGCTCCCTGCAGAGGCCAGAGGAGGGCGCCAGCATCCCAGGACCACACTCTGGACCAGGATCCCCGCCTGCACCGGTTTTCTCTGCAGGGCTGTGCACAAACTCCAGCAGGCTTTGTTGGCATCCCAAACTGACTTTTATTTTAGGTGAAGAAGGTGGAAAAGCTGGGGACGAGGCTGACAGAGGTTTGGGGAATTGCTTTTTTGACCTCTCCTAGGAGGTGTTGAATGCGCATGCCTGGTTCCCAGTGGGGGGCCTTCAGCAAACGGGGTTCCTCTTACCTGGCCCCATCAGCCAGCCTGTCCACACTGACTTGCTGGACAAGCATTTACAAAGTGCTGACTGAGCACACGGCCTCAGCAATGGCTGAGGTAGCACGGGCCACTGGAGAAAGCAGCTAACACTCCGGGAAGAGTCAGCAGAAGTGCCCCTCCCTCCACAGATGTGAGGCCTGTCTGCACAAACCTCTACTGGGCTGCCATGGGCTGAGAACAGAGGTGCAAACAGGGCCCTACTCTGAGACCTGGCCGAGGCCCCAGGCTCTGGGCTCAGCCTGTACAGCCCGAAGGCAGTGAGAGTGGGGGGGTAGGGGCGTGCCACAGTCCCCACCCCAGCCCAGGGAGCACCCTGCAGGCCCCCGCCCACCAGTACTTACGATAGTAAGCTTCCCGGTGCAGACATGGATCGCTCTTCCCTCCGTGCTTGGGGTTCAAACGGGTTCCCAAAGGAACGCTTTCTCAGCATGGACTTAACCAGGATCTGGGGAGGACATGCCAGCGTGAGGGATGCAAGTCCCCAGGCTCCCAGACACACTGGCAGCCTCCACTCTGACTCCCTGAGGGAGCAGCTGCTGGGTGGGCCCAGCTGAGGCTGCCCTTCAATAGACAGAGAAAGGAAGAATCTTCCAAGCAGAGGAAATGGCAAGAGTGGGGGGAGGGTGATGGCTGAGGGTGAATTCCGGGGATGGTGAGGGGCCCGGTGCACTGGTGCACAGAGGCCAGGAGCAGACCGTGAAGGGTCTGGAAGGCCAGGCGGAAAGCGGGGCCCCCTTTATCCTGAGGGCATGCAGAGTGCACTGAAGGGGCAGGATGGAGTGGAGGCGAGGCTGTGCCAGGCTGTGCCAGGCAGTGGGAGAGGAAGCTGCGCATGGCCTGGGGGAGATGCTGGGAGGAGGGGAGGCTGCTGCACCCTGGCTCTCTGACTGTCCCCCCTCCCACAACAAGGACAGTCCCATGCCCCTGGCCACACACACACAAACTCACCGACTCCGCACGCACAGCACCAGGGGTGCATTCACTTGTTCATTCATTCATTCATCCATTCATTCAATCAACGACTATTTACTGGGCGCCCACCGTATGCCAGACACTATTCTAAGTGCAGGGGCCACACTGAGGCAAAAGTTCTTGCTTCATGGAGCGTATATTCTAGTTGGGGGGTCAGGCAATAAATAAGACAAGTCAGTAAAATATATAAAATGTTAGTTAGTGGTAAGGGCTAAGCAGAAAGACAAAACAAGGAAGGGGGATAAGGTGTGACAAAGGGGAGGCTGGAATTGTAGGTAAGGGGCCAGGAAGGCTCGCTTCTCCCTGAGAAGATGACTTTGGAGTATAGACCTAAAGGAGTGAGGAAGCGAGCCCTGCAGACATCTGGGCAGGAACATCCCAGGTGGAGGGAAGATAAGTTCAAATGTGCTGGGGCAGCAGCTTACGGGGCACGTGGTTGGAGCCAAGCGAACGGAGGGAGGAGAGGACATGAGGGGGGCGGAGGGAAATGGGGGCAGGCAGGCTGTGCAGGGTCTTGCAGGGCAGTCAGTGGCTCTTACTCTGAGTGACACGGGAGCCTGAGTGAGCAGGGTCTGAGCTGAGAAGTGACATGATCGGGTCAGCAGGAGCACCCTGGCTGCTGAGTTAAGCATTAACTATAGTGGGAGTGAGGGTGCAGGCCACTCCAGTGGTTCAGGAGAGATATGACGGGAAGTGGCAGGAGGGACTCTGTGGGAGCTGGCAGGTTCAGGGACCCCACAGAGCCCTGGAGCTCTGTAGAGCACAGGATCAGGCAGGACTTCAGCTGGCTGGCCCTAGCAGGGAGAGATGAAGTGCACGGGCCAGAGCCTCCCACAGCACGGGCCCAGCTCTCTCTCCTGCCCTTGTGCTTACCCTGACTCGCTGTGATACCTCAGTGCAGGGCAGGCCGTGGCTCTCAGTGTCCTCAAAAAAACGCCAAATGGCCATCAGGGACTACATTAATGACTTCCAACTGTTAACGTGGAACATGTCCAGAGGAAGATGAGAAAAACGAAAGTGTGAGAGGAAAATGAAGGGAGTGTACAGATGGAGTCTAACTAATGTAGGGGCTCTGGGGCCCCTTCTCCAATTCAAAGGCTTCCTAGGCCTTTCCACTCCTCTCCTTGGCACCCAGTACAGCACTTGGAACACAGCAGAAGTTCAATAAACACTAGGAAGGAAGGAACGCTTCCTCAGCCACAGTGAGTGTTGACATCCATGAGGGCAGGATATTTCTTTACACCATTCACTCTTCTCACCAAGCCTCCTGGTCTCCCTACCACGTGGCTGAATGATGCGACCTCTTTCCCCATGGGCCTCCAGCAGAACAGTGGCCCCCGTGGCCCAGCATCGGGGCTGGCAAACCAGGCGGCCCTCCGTCCCCTGACAGGGCCCAGCACAGAGCAAATCTCAGGCAACGGCCAGGCCCTCCCAGGACAAGGGAGCCTTCTGCCCCTCACCCTCTTACCACCGTGGTCCAGCTGGGGATGAGCTTGATCGAGTTCTTCACCTCCTCCTCAGTCACCTCCACCACGCTGCAGTGCTCCTCCTCTGAGGGAAGGGGCTCCTCCCCATTTTTGGTCACCCAAGGGTGCAACTGTGGAGTCAGGAGGGCGGGGAGGGGTCAGGGCCACAGGCAGACAGCCCGCCAGCAAGGGACCCCGGGACACTCTGCTAGCAGTCGCCTTGAGGGGGTCCAATGTCCACAAACCCCAAACCCAAACCCAATACACATATGTCCCAGTGTAAGGCTCTCCAGAAGGGGAAACTGAGGCTTGTTTGCTGTGTCCCAGCCCAGCCCAGCCCAAGACCTCTGATTCCCCAACCTTGATATCTGGCACCCCAATTCTCGTTTCAGGATTCTTGTCTAGCATCTTCAGGATTAGGTCCTTGAGCTCCTCACTGACCTTTGGCCTAAAGAGGGGAAAGGAAGGAGATGCAGGAGAAACAGTTGATGATCCTTCCCTTCCCACCTCTCCACCCACACGCTGCTAATTGGGGTTCCCTGAGTAGCGCACACCAGGGCAGAGAAACACCTGACCCTCATTTCTCAGAGAGCAGGAGGGACACCCCCAAAGTACGAGGGCGGAAGGAGAGGGTTTCAGAACAAGTATATGGATATCCTTCTTGCCTGAGTAGAAAGTGAAGCAGTCTCCCTCAGGGGGCAGAGGGCACAAACAAATGGAGTTCCATGGGTGCTGGACCCCCTCGGGTGGCAGAGATGGTGGGGATAATGTGAGAAGAGTTGCTTTATGGGACACCAGGGGCCTTCCCTCCCACTCGCCATCTTGTTCTGTCCTCCGCCTGGGAGGTGGCCAGGGAAGATTCTCATTTGACGGAGGAGGAAACCGAGGCCCAGAGAGGTTAGCGAGTTGGCACACTGCCACCCAGAAGAGTGACGGCAGGGAGAAGAGACTCGGGGGAGGGGGACCACATCTCAGCCCCACGTCAGCCTGGACTGTCTCTGCCTAAACTCCAGGCTTCTTTGCTACCAACATTCTTGGGGAGCCCGTCCCTCAGAGCCTGGGAAGAAGGAACCCACTCTGGGGACTATTGACCTTGGCTCTCTCTGCTCTCCTAGATACTTAGTCCCTTTTCATTTAAACAGGGAGAAAGCTATCTCTGGCAGGGGATACAGCAGGAGGAAGGGCACAGAGACAGGCAATTACAGGAGAGGGACGAAATCCAGTTGGCTAGTGCTGCGGGGCAGGGGGCGATGTGGCGGCAGACCCCAGGGGTCCTGGAAGGCCAGGGCCAGGGTGTGGCCTCTTCCTGTGGGCTTTGGAAGCCTTGGAAAAACTTTAAGCCGGAGATATGGTGAGATGTGTTGAGCTTTATCAGGGTCAGCCCGGCCTGATTGTGGTGGCTGGACTGGAGGGAGGCTGGCAGCAGGCAGGCCAGAGAGGAGGTAGGATAAGGCTGAGGCCTGAACTAGGCAGGGGCGCAGGTGGCAATGGAGCCAAGAGATACGTACAAGGTGGACTCAATAGGGCTTGGGGACCAGAGAGGAAGTGGGTGCAAGGGGGCAGGAGTCACTGAGGACAACTCCCAGGTTGGTTTCTGACCTACCCTGGACACTTAGAACAGATGGGAAAAGGGCCCTGAAAAATGAGGAGCCGGGGGCTCAGGCTGGCTGCCACAGTAGCCAACATCATAACCAGAGGAACCATGGATGAGCAGGGAGGCCTCTCCAAACAGTCCCTCTGGGCTCAGAGGCCTTAGTCACAAAGGAAGGGGCAGGGAAGAGGAAGTGGCTTTAAATCCCAGACCCACTGATAACTCTCCTCTGGATCCTCCACTTTTCCATCTGTGAAATGGGGGTGCACACTGGCCTCTTGAAGCCCTCCTCTCCCACGTGGGGAAGGTGGAGTTTCCCCATGGGTCCAGGGTCTGCGTGGGGTTGATGCCATTGATGCCATGGAGGCCTTGAGTGAAGGAGCAGTGTGAATGTGTGACTTGGGGTCATCCCTGCCCAGCTCCTGGCCTCAGAGTTCCCATCTGTGCAATGAGATCCTACCCAGATGTCTCAGAGACCCAGCTGCACGGTCCCACCCCTCCATCTGCTCAGGGGCCCCTCCCAGGAACAGCACCCCCCGTCCAGATCTGCACGCTGGGGCGGGGCCCTGAAAGGGCAAAAGCTCTGATGCCAAAACTCAGACACGCCTCCCCGGGGGGGACGGGAGTCCCCTGACAGACAACTCACTCCTTGGGAAACACCACGGCCTCATTCTTGATCTTCCTGTGCAGGGCCAGGATGTAGTCATCGATGAACGGGCACTGCGGGGGGAAGCAGACATAGGATGCAGGCCCGGGGCCTCGGCTCACGCTGGGAGACCAGCCCTATCTCTTGGTGGGGCTGGCGTGGGGGCAGCTCTGGGCTCCCCATTAGATGGGAGGGACCTCATCTAACCTCTTTGGGGCCTGGCACACAGTAGGTGCTCAACAAACATTGACCGAACAAATGAGTCACTGAGGGAACTGTGAGGCTGGGTGTACCTGCCAGCTGCACGGCAAGGCCTTCACTCCCAGGGCCTGGAGTTCGGGAGCACGTTCACTGAGACCCCTCCTGCCCCTCCACGTGGTAACTAGAGTGGGAGCACCTGAGGACAGGGATCTGGCCCACGTCAGTGCTGGGTGCCCCAAGGCCCAGCCCGACGTGGAGCAGGAGTCAAGGGCAATTTGTTGAATGAATGAACCACTGAGTGAATGCGTGAATGAATGAATGAAAGAATGGCATCAAGGGACAGAAGGAGCGTCCGGCTGGAGGTGGCAACACCACCATCTACACCTCCCCTGGGATGTCTCCTGTCCTGGGTCTCCCTCACATGAATCCCCTCCCAAGGAGACAAGAGAAAAACAGGAAAAGCCTTTTTTCCCTTGGTCTTTTCTGACCCAGGTGGGCTCTTCTAAAAGTCACTTTACTAAGGACACAAAGGAAGGGCCTGCACCTGTCATTCATCCTGGCTCTGCTCTGCCAGCCCACCCCGCACTCACCTTCCCATAGACAAAGCAGTACAGCGTGACCCCAGTGGCCCACACATCCAAGGCCTAGAAAGAAACAGCCCACATTAGTCCCCCAAAAGGAACCGACACCTCTTGCCCACCCAGCTGCAGTGGGCTGTGGGGCAGGGCATGCAGGGAACCTCCTTCCTCTGTCAGGTATTCACTCAACAAACACAGCCAGGCACTTGCTCCGTGCTGGACCCTGTGCTGAGCACTGAACAGGGCTCCTGCCCTCCAGCAATTCCAGGTCTCCTTGGAACAGGCCCAAACCAGACTCTTTCCAACTCAACAAGTGCAAAACCTCCCTCACCTACAGGTCCCATTTGCTGCACCCAAGACACGGATGCAACCCAGAAATGATGGTGTGTATTGAACTTATACCCACTAAACCAGCTCTGGCTTCAAGAGGTCATCTCTTTTCCTAATAATCCTTTCTGAAACTGGAAACAGGCCCTGCCCGTGCCGAGGCCCTGGCTCCCCCATGCCCTGGGTTCTCACGTGTGCTCTCTCTACCTTTCCCATCCTGGAACCCCACCTCCTCGCCAGGTATCCGCTTTCTCTCTGTGTGAGCGGTTCTCAAATCTCGACCTACATATTTCTGCCACAGGCGCCACCTCTGAAGCTAATCAGGGAACACCAAACGCAAACCAACATCACACTACAAAATAACAGGCCTGTTCTCTTCAAAAATGTCAAGGTCAGAAAAGACAAAGCAAGTCTGAGGAACCCCTCCAGATTAAAGGACCCCAAAGAGACATGACAGGCAAAGGCAGCGACTGACCCCGGATCGGATCCTGGACCGGAAAAAGAAAAGGCATTAAAGGGCAGTATCGGGACAACTGATGAAATCTGAATAAGGTGGATTAGATAATAGCCTTTTATCAATGATAAATTTCCTAATTTTGATCATTGTACTGAGGTTATGTAAGAGAATGTCCTTGTTCTTAGAAAATATCCGCTAAATCATTTACTGATAAAGGAGGATACTGTCTCCAACTTAACTCTCAAATGGTTCAGAAAAATGTAATATGTATACGTATAAATACAGGGAAAGATGACGAAAAGATAAATGGGACACAATGTCAATAACTGGTGAATCAGGGTAAAAAGACATATGGGAGTTCTTTCTATTATTCTTGCAATTTTTTCTGTAAGTTTGGAATTATATCAAAATTGAAAATTAAAAAAAAATCTCTACCTACATCCCTGACCTCTCTCTCGAGCTCCACATGCACACAATGTCCAAATGCCTCTCGACCATCGTCTCCGTGGCAGTGTGGGGCAGCCAGCACTCCACAGGTGAGAACAGGCAGGCGCCCACACGCCACACTGCAGCTCCTGCTCGGAAAGCTCTGCTCACCGCCTCTGTCACTTAGGAGAAAGACTAAACTTCCAGACCCTCTAAACTCTGCCCAAACCTCACCGTGCCCCTGCTCTGTGCCCCTCAGTTCTCTTGCACATTCTATGGGTTCCGCCTCCTGCTCGAATTCTCCCCATTCTTCAAGGTCTCTTTCAAACCCTGCATGTCCAAGGAGTCTGAGGGGAGCCTCCAACTTCCCCCCAAACGTGAGCTCTCCTGCCCTTTTCACCATCTCCAGAAGGGCAGGGAGCAGGGTTCTGTCTGTTCCACAGCCCAGCCCAGAGCTCAGCACAGAGCAGCTGGCAGGAAACATCTGCAGGGCAGACTTGGGGCCATTTTGCTGGAAAACCAGAGGAAGCCAAAGCTGGGGAGTTTGTTGGACTCCAAGAAGAGACAAACACGAAGTGGGGGTGGGGGGCCGTGTTCAGTGTTCACTCCCAAGACACAAGGACCCTGGCATCCTCAAGTTGGAAACAAGGCCCCACTGCAAGCCATCACACCCCTCCACGAGCACCCCAACCAGCCCAGGCTCTGGGAGCCACCTTGCCACTGAAGCTCTGGCCGGAATCAGAAATGGCCTCGGGGGCCATGAACGCTGGGGTCCCAGCCGTGCTGGACAGCCGAGCGTCGTTCCCCTCAAACTGGTTGCTGACACCGAAGTCAGCAATCTTCACGTGCCCATCGTCCCCCAGCAGCAGGTTGGACGGCTTGATGTCCCTGTGGATGATCTTCTGGTAGTGCACTGCAGAGAGAGGCAGCTCGAGCGCTGGCCTGGGGGACCGCCGCCCAGTCCCCCCCACCTGCCCTCGCCTGGCCACGGAAGCCCGTCTCAGACTCCAGGACAGAGGGAGCTAGGACATCCCAGCCCCTGCATACAGTCATCTCATGAGGACCTCAGAAGAAAACTCCAGAGCCCTCAGTTCCACTATGCAGTGAAGACACTGAGGCCAACCCAGGCTGCTAGCAGCAGAGCCAGGATTGGACTCTTAGGAATCTTTGGGCTCCAAGTCCAGTGCTCTCTCCATGGCAATCAAAGCAAGTGCTGCCGAGTGGAGTCAGAGGAAACTGGGGGAGGAGGTTCTCCACAGGCAGTCTCTGGCTCTCCCATGTAGGTGCTGTCTGCAGCCCCAAGCCCATCAAAACCTTTCCCCAGTTCCATTTCCCATCCAGCCTGTCAGAGATGTCCCTGCTCCTGGGACTGAGGGTGGTGTTGTGGGGTATCCTGCAGAGGTACTGCCTCAGCCCTAGGGTCTCTGGGCTGCTGGAGTTTCAGAGAGGAGGGTGCCCCAGGCCTTCGGACTGCTGGGATGAGCATGGCTACGGTAAGGGTCGGCCCTCCCTAGTAGGCTGGGGGCTCACCCTGCTTCCTAGGTCTGGCACTGCTGGGAAGAGACGGGCAGTTGAGGCTGAGATGGCCAGAGATGTCTCAGCCAAGAGAAGGCACTGACCCCATCCCACAGCCATCCACTTATGGGTTCACCCCTCAGCAAATACCTTCCCCTGGACCAACAGACCCCAGGATGTTGGAGACGAGGGAAGATGGGAAGGGAAGGGGGTAAGGGGAGAGGAGGGGGAGATAATGGCTGCGGCAGAGGGAGTGAGTGTCATATAACAACAACAACACAACCCATGGCCCTGCAGTGATTGTCTCCTGGCACAGAAGAGCGTAGAGGCTTGGGGGACTGTGCACTGGACCGTGGACAGTGGGCTCAAATTCTTATCTCAATCCCTGGCCTCTCCCTTGGACTCCCAGCTCTTTATCCGCATAGATATCCAGCAGACATCTCAACATGTATCTCCATATTTCTCAATAACATGTCTAATTCAGAACTTGATTTCTCTGTCTGCAACACCCCCACCCTCCACAAAACAAACAAAACAAAACAGAAACCCCTGCTCCTCCTCTAGCCTGTCCACCAGGCTAACGGCGTATTTTACCAGTTGCTCAGGCCCAAAACCTTGACTCCTCTCTCTCTCAGACCCTATATCCAATTCATCGGCAAGTCCTGTGGGCTCGACCTCTGAGATATATTCCAGCCCCGACTGCTTCTCACACCTGCACTGCTGCACCTGCCCCAGCTGTAAGAATCAGGCCTGGGCTCCCCGACCACACAGCCTCCCCGGGCAGCCTCCACTCTCCCTTCTCGGGACCAGAATCACAAGGCAGTTCTTCAGCGCCCAGTGCCTCCATTCACCTGCCTCTCCAGCCCCTGGGGCTGACCAGCCCACTCCAGGAAGCCCTACGCCTGGAGTCTACGCCTATGATTAGCTGGGTCTTGACGAGGTTTTACGCAAGAGCCAGCTGGGATTAGCTTGTTTTTTTAGGGGATAGAGGACGGGAGACAACAGGCCCTCAGCTGAGGAGAAGGGCCCAGGAGAGGAACGGGGTGGAAGCCAAGCTGGTCTAGGGTTGTGTCCACCGCTGTCCACACCCAGGGTGAAATGCCCCCTTCCGACACCTCCACGCCCTTGCTGGGACTTTCTGCAAAGTCCTCCCCTCTCTGTGCCTCAGTTTTCCCACATGCACAAAGACAGCATTAATCTGAGGGCACTGGAGCCTCTCAAACGACATAAAGAGAGTCCTGGTTCTGCCACCAGAGGGTCCTCACCCTGTTCCCCCAGGGAGAAAATATGCTCCTGATAAACCAAGCTAAGATTTTAGAGAGATGGACAGCACCCCTGCTCCCAATCCAGGCCAGAACCAGAGGTGTCTGGGGGCCCTCCTCTCCCCATGACCAGTTAGTCAACCGGGGCTGGCCACCCCACCTCCTTCTCATCTCCTCCCCACTGTCACTGCCCTAATCTGGGCCTCACCATCTGTCGCAGCCTCCTCCCTAACCAGCTGGCCGCCTCACGCCCTCCGATCCAGCCACCACACAGCTGCCAGACAGAGCTTTCTCAGACACAAATCTCTTCACGCCCCTCCCCTGCTCAAAGCCCTCAGGGGTTCACAGTGCTGACAGGATGGAGTCATGACAGTCCTCTGTGGAGGCCTTCCCAGCCCTCCTGGTGTGGCCTGAACATTTTCCAGCATCATCTTCCACCATCCCCCACCCCCAAGCTTCAACCAGATTGACTTCTCCCCATTCTCAAATAGTACATGCCCACTCCCCTCTGTGCCTCTGCCATGCAGTTCTCTCTGCCTGGTGTACCCTCTCCCAGCCATCCCTCAAACCTGGCCAACGCACTCCTACGCATCCTTCAGGACCCTGGTCACAAGTGGCCTCCTCCAGCAAGCCTCTCCTGACCCCTTAGTGCTCTGACAGCCCCTGTGCTTCCCCAGCCTTGGCAGGCACTGCACTATATTATCTGCCTGCTTAGGTTCCTGTCTCTCCTACTAGGCTGTGAGATCCCTGAAGTCACTTCTCCATCTTTGCCATCTGCATGCCCCTAGTCGGCACTTAGTAGGTATTCATACATGAATAAACGAATGAATAAATGAATTCCAGAGATAGAGGCTAAGTTAACATCCTCCCTCCTGAGCTCTCATCACCTTAGGGCCCCTCACAGTAAACCCACTCTGCCACCTCCCACAGGCTCCATTTCAGGACAGCCTCTTCCTCCAGCAGCTGGACAAAATCTCTTCCTTCCCACATCTCTTGAGGCCCTGTGCAGAGGCTAAGCTTGGCTAGGAACTTCGCAGAGGAGAGACAGAGATAAAACCCAAGGCGCAGACCGACGTGGTGGTGACCAGGCACCGTGAACGCCAAAGCGTGCCCCACTGACGTCTGCCGCCACCCACTACCGGGTCAGGGGTTTTTGGCCCCACCCAAAGGTCCAAGCCGGGGTTGGGGGGGCGAAGCTGATTGGCAGATCAGCGCCGACTGACAGGAATTGATCAGAGCTGGCTCAGCCTGGGCTCCGCCCCCTCCTGTGTCCCTCCCCTGTCCCCAGGCCCAGGGGCAGGCAGCCCCTCACTCACAGTACTCAAGGCCCAGGATGATGTCCCGCAGGTAGAGGCGAGCTTGCTCCTCGGGCAAGGGCTTGTCGCAGGGCACCTCCATGACTGGCCTGGGGATGGAGGGGACGGGGGGGGGTGGTTAGCCAGAATCAGAAGGAGTAAAGGCATATGGCAGCTGAAGGGGAACAGGGGCTGGGCCATACAGACAGCCTTGGGACCTCCCAGGTGCCCTCTATGCTCAAAGGGGTCCCTAGAACCCAAGATATTAGCTGCTTCTCCCATATAAAGAAAATTAAAAAACATACATAGACGTGAATATCCCTTTTCAATTATTATAATTTCAAATGAGCTTTATCTTAATTTCTGATTGACTTGGTATTCCTTCTTCTAAGTACTTAATTATCTATAATCAAACAGTTGCAGAGATGCCATTTAGAGCAGTGTTTTTCGAACTGTAGGTCCAGACCCAATAGAGGGTCATGAAATCAATTTAGTGGATGGCTACTGCTTTTTTTTTTTTTAATGAAGTAGAATATATGAGAATGTAATAAGGGTATATAGTGTTTTGTAAAAGTTTGGGTTCAGTTACAGATATGCATGCAGTGTAAAACTTATATTTCTTACTTTGAATGGAGGTCCAAAACCTTTGAAAGCCTCTGAGTCTTAAAAGGATACCACTCCCTGCCCCCTCCCCAAATTGGTCTTTAGGAAGCCCCCCAGGCAGAGAGACAAGCCACAGCCTGGATTCGAGGCCTCAGCAGTTCAAGTCTCCAGTCCACCCAGCCCCATGCCCACTACTCCTTGTCTTCTGCTCTGCAAATACCCTGAGAAGGTCAAACAAGGCAGACATGAGTTAGAACCCCACGTTTCACCAGTGACTCATTGTGTGACCTTGGGCAAGCCACTGACCCTCTCTGAACCTCAGCTTCTCCTCTTGTAAATGGGAGTGAATGGAGTGCCAACCGCCTGATTCACAAACTTGTAAAACTGAAAGAACCCTTAGTGATTTGAATACAGGTAAAAGTTGAGTCCCATTTCTATGCTTTGTAAGAGAAATAGTTCTTTCTTCTCTCTCTCCTCCATCAAAATCTTCTTTCCAGTTCCTCAGGGCTCTCTTCCAGAGGTCTCCCTGCCTATTCCAGCCTCACCAACCCCACCAGCCTTCAAAGAATCGTCCTCCTGGTCTCTCGTTTCCTCTCCCCCAGACCAGAGCTCCCCAAGGGCAGGGCCTAGGCCTCTGCTTTCTCCTAGAGTAGCTGACCCTAAGACGAGGGACACAGGAGGGAAAGGAAGGCAGATTAGACGGGATTAGACTGGATCTGCCTGATGAGGATGGGGAACTCACCCCTTTCTCAGGAGGTCAAACACTGAAAGAAAAGAAAAGAGAAGTAGGTGAGGTGCAGCCAGGCTGGCAAAGCAGCCAACGCCAAGGTCCCTCCCTGTCCTGGAGGGTCGGGGAAGGGCCGGTATCCAGGCAGACTTGAGGAGGGACAGGACAGGGGTTCCAGGCAATCAGAGGAAGTACATGCATGAGAGTGGGTCTACTATGGACCTGCCTCATCTGATTCTCAAGTGCCAGGTGAGGACCATCAGCACGGACCCCTTTTACAGGGGAGAAACTGAGGCTCAGAGAAGGGGCAGAAATTTTCCTAAAGGTCATAGCAGATAGGCAGGTAGGAGAGGGAGTGGAGCCTTGGCCTCTAATTCCCAAGCCAGTGTCCCTTCTGCTCCGTTTCCTGAGAGCCTCCAAGCCCAGCCCTGAATCAGGTACCAAGGACTTTAAATAATAACAACATTACTATTACTGATGATAATAGCTAACAGTGTCTTGCATATAATAACTGGTTTACTCCTAACATTAACCCTATGAAGTAGACACCATTATTATCCCCATTTTACAGCTGAGGAAACTGAGGCACAGAGCTATCAGATAGAGTCTAGGAACCCACATCCCATAGCCTGCTTCCTGCATCTGTCTGATCCACTCTCTCTCTGATCAGCGGAGTGGGGTCTTGGGAATATTTGTTGAGTCTCCCTGGACATTCTGAGCCTGGTTCAGCAGGGCTGGGCAAGGGATCCAGGGTTTGAGAATGTGTGTTTCCTCCCTGCCCCCAGGAGGTCACTGCGTTCGCACGGTCCATCTGAAGGTCACGTCTGTCCCCAGGGAACCCTTGGGCCCACCCCAGGTAAGCTGCTTTGGGAATGAGCTGGGTCACTCACCCAAATAGAGATTGTCCTCAGCTGGGTCATCCAGGACCTGGTCAGAGGGAGCAGACATGGGGATGGGGCTTGGGGAGGCATGGAGTGGGGGTCCCAGGATTCCTTGTCCTCATCAGCCCCAGGATCCCCAATGTGCTCTGCAGCCACCCCAGACAATGGAGCAGGAACTGTGCAGGCACCAGACAGATGAGGCCTCAGAAATCACTGACCCCCAACCCTGGCCCACCATAGGGCATCCAGCCCTTTGCCCCTCCTGCCTTGATGGGGGGCTCACTTCTTGCCTATGGGGCAGCCCCTCACCCTCAGTAAAACCTTGAGAACATCCCAGACCAGCCTGAACTGACTCCTGAAGCTTCCCTGCAGCCCCCAACCCCAAGTCCGGCCCTGCCCTCCTTGGAGGCCTCAGCCACATCTCCCTTAGCAGGATCCCTGGGTCTGTGCTGAGTGGCCCCAGCACCAAAGGCTGCTCCACAGGACTCGGGTGCAGGTCCTCACCCGCGGGTCCCCACCTGCTCCCCACCTACCTCGATCAGCTTGACCACATTCATGTGGTCCAGCTTCTTCAGAATGGCAATCTCCTGGTACACCCGCTCCAGGGGCAGCAGCTGCTTGGCCGGTCCTCCCTGGGCAGCCTGGGACCCTCTTGGGGGAGGGCGACCTGTGACCAGGAAGGGGAGTCAGGCCTCTGTTGCAGAAGGCTGGGCCTCACCCTGGCCCTGCAACCAGCCTCAAACAAGAATCTTGCAAGATCACAGTCTTGTCCCCAACACACCAAGCACATTCCCACCACCAGACCTTTGCTCATGTTGTCCCCCCTCTACCCCCTATGCCCCCTACCGAGGTGTCCACCTCCTCTGCCCCCAGGCTAGGAGCTCCCAAGCACAAGACCCGATAGATACCTACGTGGAAAGCCGTACTGCTTCAGCAACTTCTTTTTGGAAAGAACTTTCATTGCCTGAGGAGGGAGGGGCAGAAATGTCACTCATGTGCAGCCACCAGGGGCTAGAACAGGCTGGTTACATGTGGATTGAAGTCCAGAAGGGCACACTGGGCATCTGCCACTGGCACTGAGGGTACGGCCTGGGTGTGGTTAAGCTGGGTTAGGAGGAGGCCATAGCTGAGTCTAGATCTTACCCTTATTCCCCCAGTAAGCCTTTCTGGAGCTCTCCCCTCAGAGGCATCCAGTCTCTGCTTACATATTCCCAGAGTCAAGAAGCTCACTCCCTTTGCATACCCGTAGGGACAGGGAGCTCACTCCCTTAAAAGGTAGCATTGTCCTCTGTCTTCCCAGCACAGCTTCTGCCCTCCCTCCAGCCTTCTAGGCCCAGCTTGGGCAACACCTCCCCCCATCCCCAGACTCACATAGTGCCTGTCTTCACTTTCATTGTAGGCCAGCCTTACCACGCCGTAGGCACCCTGCAGATAGGCACAGGTCAGCCTCGCCCGGACAGGCACCCTCCCCCAGGACTAGATCAGAAAAAGGGGAGTCTGAACAGCTCCAGCCCCCTCCTCCCGCATCCCATCTCCACCCCCCCACTAGTGGGGAGGGGACTCCTGCGCCCTGGTAACTGACTCCACCTGGCTCAATGCAGCTCCATGCCTCTCCCCGTCCCTCCTTGTCTTCCATCAAAAACTGCAGAGTCGAGAATCAGGAGTCATCTCCCACCCCCTACTCCCTGTCCCTCCACCCCAGTATTTCCTACAGAGACAAAACTTTCCTCACTTCCAAGTCTGGGCCTTCCTGGCTCTGCCTCACATTCCCAGAGAAGAAGAAGGGATTATGCCAAGCAGAGGATCCTGACAGGCTTGCCTCCACAAAGCCCCAAGAGAAGTTCCCACTGAACCTGGCCTGCCCCAGTCCTACCTTGCCGATCTCACTCTGCAGCTTGTACTGGTTGAGCTGCACACAGTCCTGGGGGGAAAAGAGGGGAGCATCAGGTAGAGCTTGATCCAGAGGTGTCATTGCTCCCACCTCAGGAGCCTGTTCAGGGCCCAATCCTGGCCCCAGACCCCAGGTCTCGTTAACCTTTCACGTTTGGATGGGGAAACTTGATGGTTTCAAAGCTGCCGAATGTGACAAGAAGCCTTGGATAATGTTTGAAAACATGAATGGTGAACCATGGCTATGTTCTGCTCCCCAGCGAATGGTGAAGAAAAAATGCACTGATTCCTGCCTGGATGCTGGGATGTAGGAGATCCCAAACTGCGGGAAACTCATGAGCAAGTATTTCCAGAAGCAGCTGAATGCAAGGTCTAGATTGCATGGACAAGAAAGATGAGGAGAGCCTCAGGGACAGGAGAGCAGAGACCTGGCTCAGGTATTAAAAGCTCAGCCTCTGAAGGCTATAGACTGCTCAGTATTTGGGTTCACACTCAGATCTAAGTGGCAAGGACAGAGCCAGTGGGAGCCCAGGGGCTGGAAGCACGCTGGCAGCTCTGAGTCAGAGCAGGCTGTAGGGGGTAGGATTAGAGGTGTGGGGCTCAAGCCGAGGAAGCCTTGGGGGCGGGAGGACATGTTGTCTGTCTTCAAATCGCTAAGATGACTTCTGGAGGGACAAAGGAGGAGCCTATTTCCAAGGCCTGACCCGGGGGTGGGAATGGTGGGACTTATAGGAGGCAGTGGTTGGCTCAGATGGAGCTCCCCTGGGTGGGAAGAGGCCACATTGGTAGGTAGTGAGCTCCTCAGCTCTAGGGGTATGCAAACCAAAGGCTAGACAGCTCTATGGCAGGGAAAGGAGCAGAAAAGGGTCTTCATACAGGACTGCTGAAAAGCTCATGAGCACCCCCTAGCTCTTCCCCACCAACCTCTGCATCCGAGATGGCCACATGGTGGGACTCGATGGTGGGCCTCCGCCAGGCCCGTGGGGAGATATGGCTGGCAGGCCCAGTGGCGTAAGGCCCAGCCTGGACCTCCAGGCGGCTTCCCGCTGGCCGTTCCTGCAAGGAGAACTTCCTAGCTGAGAGGCTGGGCCGGGCTGGGGCGGGTCTTGAAGCACCACCAGGGATCACGGAGGCAGCTCTGGCCCGTGGTGGAGGGTCCACACCGTTCCTGGCAGGCTCTGGGCTGCCATCTGCCTTTTCCAGGTGGGCCATATCGATGGCTGCCACTCGCTCCACCAACTCAGCCCGAGGGTCCTGGCAACAGACCGCTGAGCCCCCCTCCATTGCCGCAGTCAAGGGGGTCCTCTGTGCAGCCTTAATGGGAACCTGAGAAAAGAGGGCAGAGAAGGCTCACCACGGAGCAGGGAGGTCAGATTTCCAGGCCCCTCTCCCATTGTAGCCACAAGCGTGTGGGTCTCACCTCCAAGCTTTTGCCTTGCCTGTTCCTTCTGCCTGGGTTGCCAACATCCAAACTCAGGTCTGCCCCTACTAACTGAAGGAATTCCAGGAACTCATCTGGCTCTGCTGCACACCGGCCCTCTAGATCTCAGTATCCCCATCTAAAAGAGGCACGGTCACGTCTGCGTTGCTGGCCTCACAGGGAAGCAGGGAGAATCTGATATTCTGGAGTCAGGACAAACAGACATAGGCATAACAGCAGAGGCCCAGCAGCGATGGGAGAAACAGAGTCCAGGGTCAGCTCAGGCTCCCACCCGCAGACAGCCCAGTGACTCACCAGCTCCACCCGTGAGAGCAGAGCATTCCAGTGCTGCTGCCTGGAAGCTGAGCTGGGTGCTGGTAACGCAGAGGCCTCCCTGGCCCTCCAGGCCCACCCATCTCCCCCAGGGAAGCCTCCCATGTTCCAGCCCCTCCCCCCTCACTGCTTCTAGGAAGATTTCCCTGGGGCTCCAGCCTCTCTCACCCCTTCTCACCTCCTCCAGGGAGTCCTCCCCATGGCCACAGGAGAAGTGTCCCATAATTGCCTCCCCTGCCCCAGCAGAGCCTGCAGCCCAGGACAGGGTCCATTAGGGGCAGAGGCTACTGCTTTATTAGCCGTCAAGAGAGATTTCACTGCACTCAAAAGTCAGTCTTGGGGCCAGCCCCGTGGCTTAGCAGTTGAGTGCGCGCTCCGCTGCTGACGGACTGGGTTCGGATCCCCCGTGCACACCAACACACTGCTTCTCCCGCCATGCTGAGGCCGCGTCCCACATACAGCAACTAGAAGGATGTGCAGCTATGACATACGACTATCTACTGGGGCTTTGGGGGAAAAAAATAAATAAATAAAAATTATAAAAAAAAAAAAGTCAGTCTTATTTCTCCTGGTTTTCCTTCCCATTTATTCGTGTGGCCAAAATTTTGTCACATCTGCTCAGGATCAGATGCTCCCACTGGCCTGGCCCTACTGCAGTCTCAGTCCCCAACCAAGCCCCGGGCCAAGGCATAACCCCAGCTTGAACTCCAAACCAACTTCCAACCTCCAACCTCCAGCCCCGGCCCTCACCCTCGGCCACAATCCTAGGGTGAACCCTGACTCCAGGCTGAACCCTGACGCTCAGGCTGGGACTCTGTCTCTGCCCCAGGCTGAGCACTGGCCCCAGCCTGATGCCCTTCCCCATTCCTGGGCCAGACCCAGCATCTTCTCAGAAAAAGGAAGTGAGGGGACTCCTGACCCTCTTCCCTTCCTGTCTGATGGTAAGTTCCTCTGTCCTCACACTGCAACTTTGAGAACACAGGTCTCCGTTTCACCCCGCGTTCCCCCATCACCTTGCTTTGACAGATGTCAAGGAGACAGGGCTCGCTGGAGTCCACTGGCCACAGAGAAGCCTGGGCTGTCTTCCAGTCCTGCCTGCCAACCTACTGTGGGGGCCCTAAGCGGGCTCCCTCCCGACTCTAAGCTTCAGTCTCCCCATCTGTACTATGGATGCAAGACCTTCCCAGATTCCCTAGGGCCACAGCAAGGCTTGGAGATGGATTGTGGGTAAGGGCATGGTCCGGACCCCCTGTGCCTGCACACAGTATGTTAAATGAGTGGAAGCCTGGAGGTGGTGCTGATGTTGACATGCAGAAAGGAAGAGGGAAGGGACCCAGCTTGGCAACAGGAAAAGACACGGAGGCTGGACCTAGAGGAGTGGGGGAGGGTGATGAGGCTAGACCATAAAGGAGGCCTCTCTGGAGATGAGAGACGAGTGAGTGGGGCTGGAGCATCAGGGAGGCCTCCCTGGAGGATATGAGAGTGGGCAGTGAATGGGGTTGGAGCATAAGGGAGGCCTCCCTAGAGGAGGCGAGGGAGGTAAATAGGGCTGGAGCATCAGGGAGGCCTCCCTGGAGGAGGTGAGTAGGGCTGGAGCATCAGGGAGGACTCTTTTTGAAGAGATGAGAGAAGGCAGTGCATGGGGTTGGAGCATCAGGGAGGCCTCCCTAGAGGAGGTGAGGGAGGTAAATAGGGCTGGAGCATCAGGGAGGCCTCCTTGGAGGAGGTGGGGGAGGTGAGTAGGGCTAGAGCATCAAGAAAGCCTCTCTGGAGATAAGTAGGGCAGGAGCACCAGGGAGGCCTCCCTGGAGGAGGTGAGTAGGGCTAGAGCATCAGGGAGGACTCTTTTTGAGGAGATGAGAGGAGGCAGTTCATGGGGTTGGAGCATCAGGGAGGCCTCCCTGGAGATGAGAGGGGGTAGTGGAGTATCAGGGAGGCTTTGGGAACGAGGCCACCTGCAGGAAGGAGGAAGCCAAGGCTGAAGGGGGCCCTCCAAGCCTGGCCGGCCCTGCCACTCCTCTCTGTGGGTGGCCCACTCCCTCACACTATGGGCGCTTTTCCTTCCACCAGAATACCAACTCCATAGATAAGGCTCCTGTCTGCCTTGTCTCCACTGGTGTCTGCAGCAGTGGCTGGCACATAGTAGGAGCTCTGTAAATATTTCCTGAATGAATGAGTAGTTGCCATAGTGATCACGACAACCCTGTCCCCATTAGACAGATGGGAAAGCAGCCTCAGAGAGGGGACCCCAACAAGCCTAAGGCCCCAGCCCATGGCAGGGAATGAATCGCAGTGGCAGGCCCAGGGCCGGATGGAGAGACTGAGAGCCACTGCAGGCTGAGGCCACAGGCTGCCCTTGCCCCTAAATTTGCATGTGATTTCCCTGAGGCTCTTATCTCAGCCAGAGGCCATCCTCCTTCAACTCCCTCCTCCCTTTTCTCAGACAGGGAAAGTGAGGCCCAGCAAAGGGCAGGGATGGACCTGGGGTTACACAGCAAGTCAAGGCAGAGCCTTCCCGCTCCAGCCCCCGGCCCTGCCCAGTTACCTGGTTTGGGCCCAGGCTCTGAAACCAGGCTGCCAGGCTCCGCCCCTTCCTGGCCGTGACCCAGTGGGCAGGTGAGGGCACCTCTGTGCTTGGGTTTTCGTCATCTGCAGAATGGGGTTAACAGCAGCCTCACCTCCCCAGGCGGTGGTGAGGAGGAAAGGAGTAAACGCACCACTGGGCTCAGAACTGGGCCTGCCACTAAGGAAGCCTCGTAAAAGTGAGTTGTTGTTGTGCTGCTGTTGTTGTGATTGCCTGGGACACGCTGCGGCCCAGATGGATGCGCGGGAGGCACAGCGGCTGTGAGGGCTGACGTCAGGCCCCCCACCCCCCCTCCTGCCTGGATCAAATTCAGGTGACTAAGCACGTCTGCGCGGGAGGCGGCCCCGGGGAGGCCCCAGGTTCCTGCCTCGTGTCCAGGCGACAGGGCCTGGCGCCTGAGGCTGTGCGTGTGAGGGCATGTGTCCACACGTGAGAGAATGTGTGCAGGCAGGGCTGGGGGCCTGGGTGGGTGTGTGTCTGTGTGTGTGTGGGTCCACACATAGAGCAATCTGCATGGAAACAAAACTCTGCCGGTGAGGTATACATGCATGTATAAGTGTGTTCAGGTGCACTGTGTGCCTTTAGGTCTCATGGTACATGGGCCCCAGAATGGGGGGCGGGGCCTACACCCCCTGGCAGCCATGGGAACCTGATTGCAGAAGGTCAAGTTTGAACTTCCCACACGATCACCTCTCCAGCAGCCTGCAGCTGCCCGTTGAGCTGGGCTGTGGGTCTTGGGCAGGACCCACCCCTCTCTGGGGGCTCACCCAGGGGCTCTCTCCAGGCCCTCCCCAAGCTGAGGCCTCAGCAGATGCTTTGTAGAAACAGACTCAGCAGGTAACTAGGGCCATATGGGCAAATAGAAGGATGGAGAGACAGGCTGGGACCCAGGCCCAGGGCAGAGCAAGGACTCTCTGGGCATGGGGAGTCTCCCAGGGACAACCTAGTGCTGCAGCCAAGAATGGCCAGACTCAGGCCCTCCTCACTGGGAAAAGCTATCCCAATCCTGTCCTCCCAGACTGGGGCTGTGTTGCCTTGGACAAGTCACTGAGCCTCTTGAAGCCTCAGTTTCCTCATATGTGAATTGGACACATGGCTACCATCCTGCCAACTCCCAGGGCTATGGAAGGACATGGATGAGACTGTGGGCACTGAAGCAGTTTGTGCCTGAGTGGTGTGAGGCTGGGATGTGTCTGTGTCAGGAAGCCACTAAGAGAGCACCTTGAGGTACAAAGTACAACCCCATATCTGCCTAGGATGGCCTGGCATAGTACCCCCTCAGGCTCCTCCTCCTAGGCTATGCCCACCCCCCATCCCCAAGTGTCTGGCTACTCCCAAGGGATGCAGACCCTGGCTCCAGATGCCCGGCTGACCTCGCCTCCTCCTCAGGACATGCCCCATCCACCTGGGCCCCTCAGAGGTGGCTCAGAGCAAGACAGAGCAGGCAGATCCTGCTCTCATTCAAGCTGATCCAAACAGCCCCTCCTGGGATGACTTCAGGCTCCGCTCAGGACTCACTCTGAGTTCTGGAAGGCTGCTGTGAACCTCAGGGCCAGGCTGAGCAAGGGACCAGCCACCACCCAGGTAGAGAGACGTGGCCCTGACCAGCAGAGGACTGTCCAGAAGGGAAAGTTGCAAGGAGGTGGATAGCCAGACACAGAAGGTGGCCCTGACGTCGCTGGGCGGCCTCACGGGAGGCGTGTTTATGCTCCTGACAAGTGTCTGGATGGCCCTGGCAACGGGTGCCCTCCGAGCTCCCGCCTCCGCCCAGGATGACTCAGTCCCCTTGAGGGAGGCCCAGGCGTCTGGAGCCAAGTCATGCTTGAGGACGCCTGCTGTGAGGACGCCCCCTCCCACCATCCCCAGGGAGGCCCCAAGCACCTCGGTGGGCTCCGTGCCTGAGTCAACACAACAACTCTCAGCGCATCGTCAGCACATCGAGGCTGATGGTCTCCAGGCCTCACCCTCTACCTCTGCCCCTCCTCATTCTCCATGCCAGGTCTGCGCCTCCAGCCCGACTCTTTCCAGCCAGCTGCCTCCTGTCTTCCATGTTCCTGGGCAGCTCAGACCCAGCAGGGCCCAATTCAATGCAGCATTTCCCCCAAGTCTGCTCTGCCTCCTCTGTCCCCATCACAGAGATGGTACCACCATCCTCCCAGTTCTCCCAGGCCAGAAACCCAGGAGCCCTCCTTCTCCCCATCTTCTCCCTTTCTCCCATCCTTGCTCCCCACAACCCAACACTTACTGTCTACTCTGGCTGCACCACACTACTCACAGCTTCCCAAACTGCAGATTCTGTTCTGCTGCCAGGCCTTTGAACAAGCTGTACCTTCTGCCAGGAACACACCTCCTTCTCCTTTGCTGCTGGAGGACAGCTCAGACACCTCCTTTGGGAGTCCTCCCTGATCTGCCCACTGCTGGGTGAGGTCACCCAG